CTAATAGAGTCGTTATGGTAGATTGTCATAATTTGTCGTTTCTTTTCCTCGTCAGTCACAGTTTCAACAGGATCTGTCAATATAATTTGTAAGGTTTCTAAAATTTCATTTCCGCGGTCTTTTAAGTTTGAAATTGAATTGAATACTGAAAGAGGTTACGTCACGTGAATCTACATGTAAAGGGATTTGATGAAACCCTCAAAGAAGGTCTAAGGTTGAAAAATACTTCGCTCGGCCAAGGTTATCCAGAATGTCGTCTATTCGCGCAAGGGGGAACTTATCGGCAAGCAATTTTTTGTTGACATCACGGAAGTCGACGCACATGCGGTACGCTTTTTTGTCGTTAGTATCTTTTTTTGGAACAACAATTAAAGGGCTATTATAATTCGAATAACTTTCTTCGATTAATTCATTTTCTAATAACTTGTTAACTTAACGGTTTATTTCCTCACGCTGGGAATATGGTAATCGGTAATTTTTAATGTAAACTGGGTCATTGTCTGTCAATCTTAATTTTTGTTCGTAAAAGTTATTTAACGTCATTTTGTCATCAGGAAGTGCAAATATGTCTGCGTAATCTACGCACAAGTTAAGTAATTTGCTTTCAGCGTAACTAGGAATTTGTTTTTTCAAAACGTTAATCAGTTCTTTTGTCCGGTTGTCATCGTTTCTCGTCTTGTTAATGGAATATACATTGAAATTAGAGAGTTTTTCAGTCCGAATGTTACAGTTCTTTTCGTATTTTATGTCATTTGTGGTATTTATGATTTTGACGATTGGGTTGCTTGTACTAACTATGCATCGTGCTGTAAATACACCGTTATCAATCTCTTGCGATTCCACAAACAGAGGCTCCGGTGAGCTTCCTAATTTAAACAGTCGGTAAACTTCGCATCTGGGTGGAATTATGCTAGTGTCGCTTTCAGTTCCGCGAAGAATCGGAATCGCGACTTTTTTGTTGCCTACCCAGAAGGAAATGCAATTGCTTGCATAGCTGATAACGCATTTATTGAATTTTAAAAAGTCTTTACCCAATATACCGTCTGCCGTAATGTTAAACTCGTCATTAACCACATGTAATGTATGTTCTATAAAAAAGTCAGAAAAAGCCAATTTTGTCATAATTTTACCCAGAGTTGAAACAGTGTTTGAAGTGACGCCCGTAATGCGGATAATATCATTCGTATAAATCGGAAAATTTTTGTGAAAACTTGAAATTTTAATTAAAGAAATGTCGGCTTGCGTGTCGACCAAAAATGTGCATAATTTATTAGACCCGGAAATTTTTAATTGAATAAAATCTGAATAATTTAGGCTTAAGCAGTAAATGCCTTTTGTTACAGAATAATCGTTTAGTTGTCTTACTCCTGCTCCCCCAGTGTTCGCTCCAGAGGGGCATGAGCGTTTAAAGCGCGGACATTTGCATTCCTACTCCTACCGTTTGCAGATCGTGCATTTTTGTTCCTATTGGTGTTACTGTTGGAATTAAACCGTGAACCATTGCTGTTATTATGATATCGGTTTCCGTTAGCGGATCTAAACCGTTGATTGTTATAACTGTTGAAGTTATTGTTATTATTAGAAGAAAATGACCTGTTATTTCTATAACCACTAAAATTGCGAGTTGGGTTTGCCCCACGATAGCCACCACGTGAATTTCTAAATGTGGTAAGTCAAAACCTGACGCTCCTTCACCTCATTATTCTGCTCTACGATTAGTTTTGCAACTACGTCTTTGGAATCTGAAAAT